TACTACTACTACTACTACTACTACTACTACTACTACTACTACTACTACTACTAATGATAATGGCGGCCATTTTCCCACTAATTTTACCTCTGAAAACAGGCAACCCTCCCCTCATTCAATCACAAATATCTCGACTTCTATTCACCATAGATACATATTTTTCTCACCAAAAGCAAGACAAATGAACAGGCTTTAAGATGATACCAATAACTCTACATGCCCCCAAATTGACGAGAGCCTAATTCCACTGCATCGTGACACATATAAGTTTATAAGCATATTATTGTACAAGTACGACGCTCGTAAATGCTGCACTCACCCACGACTAAGATTCGCGTATGCTGGAAACTAGGCACCACCTCGAGGATAAAGGCCCGATTCACGGACATACTCAGGTCAAAGCCCATGTCCAGCAGAACGAAGCCGGCCACACCCAGGATACCCGTCATAGGAATCTCGCCATCCTCAACAGCAGCAGCGACATCACCACCACCAGCACCACCAGCACCATCACCAGCACCATCACCAGCACCACCAGCAAAAGCGTCAGTCCCCATAGACATAAGAGGAGAGTAGCTGGAGTTTTGGGACACGAGCCAACCGTACGAGGTGGTGGTGGTGGTGGAGGAGTTGATAACCCGCTCGCTAGTGTCGTAGAGGCTTGTGGTCGCCTCCGTGTTCCAGCCCGGCTGTGTTTCTCCGACCTGGGAGATTTTCATGAGCGCGCAGATGATGAGGAGAGCCAGGCCCAGTAAGTAGGTCACAGCACCCAGCAAGATGGACAAGAGCTTCCGGACCTGCGCAGAGGGGCAGAAAGATGGAGGGGGGTCAGTGTGTGGGACAGCTCAGCAGATAAACATGAACCTCAAACTTGACAGGCATGGACGAGATTCATTTCAAAGTAAAAGCAAAAATATATAATATATATAAAATTCCAAAAACAAAACAAAAAATAAAACAAAACGAATAATTTGCTTAGGCAATGGAATTGCCGCTCATATGACCTTATGCAGTTGAGAGCGCCGTAAACCCTTACTAAAACAAAAGACAATGGAATTGTCAAATTCACAACACTGACAAAGGTTGCTGCCATAGCAAAAGTCTGATAGTTTTCTGTAGCTTCAAAACCACACACTGGACACTTTGCATAATTTAATGTTGAAACTCCGTGACTTTGGAAGGGAAGCTTTAATGTTTTAAAGTATCTTTGAAGTCCTGTGCTCACTTAACTTTCACCAACACACAACTACACTCAAACGTTTTAAAAGAAAATGTTTCCACAATAATAATAATAATTATTATTATAGCAGCATTAGCTCCTGTTTAGTCTGAGAGCACAGGGTGTACCTGGACATTAACTCCGTTCTGCACTCTGTTATAAAATCCTCGGTCTAGTTTACATCAAATTAAAAAAGAATTAAACTTGACTCGTTAGAATCACTAAACAAACCAGCTCCTTGATCAGGCCACCTCTCCGTACAAAGATGAAAGTTGAATCGTCTGTGGGAGGCTGGGAGCTGTTCAGTTGCCGGAGTTACTTACCAATTTTCTGTGTGAGCGCTTTGCACCCTTTCATGTACAAAACAAGTTTGTCCATCTTTCTACTGGACTTCAGACACTTTGCGTTGTTACATCACTCCACAGACGTTTCCCTGGCAACCAAAGGCTACCCAAGATGCATCTCGTACAGACAAAGATGTAGATCAATAAGTGTGGAGAAACCGACTGTCCCACGTGAAAAGTTCTTGGCTTCTGAAACGAGGGGAAAACTCTCCACAATGAAATCCCAGCTTCCTTCCTCGGCTACCCGAGGGCTTGAAAAGTAAAGATATAGAGACTACAGGGCCTGGGTAGGCAAAGATACAAAGGCCACATGGTGAGGGATTGGTAAGTAAGTAAAGATATTGTGACCACAGAATGAGGGCTTGATAGAGACCACGGAATGAGGGCTTGGGTAAAGGTATAAAGACTACAGAATGGAGGCGATGGTAAAGGTAAAGGATAAAGGATAAAGGATAAACTACAGAAAGGGAACTTGGGTAAAGGTATAAAGACTACAGAATGGAGGCGATGGTAAAGGTAAAGGATAAAGGATAAACTACAGAGTGGGAACTTGGGTAAAGGTATAAAGACGATAGAATGGGGGCTTTGGTAAAGGTATAAAGACTACAGAATGGGGACTTTGGTAAAGGTATAAAGACTACAGAATGGGGACTTTGGTAAAGGCATGAAGACTTCAAGGTGAAGGCTTGGCGTAAGATATAGAGACTACAGAATGGGGACTTGGGTATAGGTATGAAGTCTAGGGAATGGGGTTTTGGTTAAAGGTATAGGTACTACAGAATGGAGGCTTTGGTAAAGACATAGAGACTACAGAATGGGGACTTTGGTAAAGGCATATAGACTACAGAGTAAGGACTAGTTCTCTGTATGAGACAGATCGGCCGGTCAGGCCAAAGATATCAACTCTTGCAAAAATCTAACGTGGTTCCTTGGACTCGTATGTCCTCAAACATCATTGAGAAGTCAATCGAACGGTAGGGAATATAATGTTTGAAAAGCTATGAAAAGGAGAAATTCTCAGTTGTGTGTATACAAAAACAACAAGGATGAAAGCCCAACTGGATTCTAACTTGCAAGAACGAAAATGACGACAGCACATAATTGAGTACACACCACGAAAGCGCGAAAGCGACAATGAAAGCAGACCACAACAGGAAATGACGTTGCAAACGGAAGCAGAAACATTGAGGTTATTTCCTCTGAAGCAAACACTGAAAACGGAAAGGTGTAAACCCTGTGTCGTTAACTACAATGCTTTTGTTTGTTGTTGCTGCCAAAGCACCTTTGCACACGAGGTATAAAGACTACGGAATGGAGGCTTGGGTAAAGGTATGAAGACTACGGAATGGAGGCTTGGGTAAAGGTATAAAGACTACAGAATGGAGGCTTGGGTAAAGGTATAAAGACTACAGAAACGGGGCTTTAGTAAAGATAATATAGAGACTATAGAATTGGGACTTGGTTCAAGGTATAAAGACTAAGGAATGGGGGCTTAGGTAAAGATAGAGAGACAACAGAATGGGTCTTGGGTAAAAGTATAGAGACTTACAGAATGGGGACTTGGATAAAGGTATAAAGACTATGGAATTGGGACTTGAGTAAAGGCATAGAGACTAAGTAATGGGACTTGGGTAAAGGTATGAAGACTGCAGAATGGGGGCTTGGGTGAAGGTATAAAGACTAAAAGGTGAGGGCGTGGCGTAAGATATATGGACTACAGAATGAATTGTGTAAAGGTATAAAGACTATGGAATTGGGACTTGGGTAAAGGTATAGAGACTAAGGAATGGGTCTTGGGTAAAGGTATGAAGACTACAGAATGAGAACTTGTGTAAAGGTATGAAGACTACAGAATGGGGGCTTGGGTAAAGGTATGAAAACTACAGAATGGGGGCTTGGGTAAAGGTATGAAAACTACAGAATGGGGGCTTGGGTAAAGGTATGAAGACTACAGAGTAAGGACTAGTTCACTGTATGAGACAGATCGGCGGGTCAGGCCAAAGATTTCAACTCCTTGCAAGAATCTGCCGCGGTTCCTTGGACTGTAAGTCCTCAAACATCATTGAGAAGTCAACTGAACGGTAGGGAACATAATGTTTGAAAATCTAGGAAAAGGAGAAATTCTCATTTGTATACATCCAAAAACAACAAAGACGAAAGCCCAACTGGACTCTAACTTGCAAGAACAGAACATATTTGAGTACACATCACGAAAGCACCAAAGCAAGCGACGATGAAAGCAGAACAGTGCGGCTTTGAAATATTGCCAAAACCAGCTTATTCACCAGACCTAGCCCCCCTCAAACCATTTTCTGTTTCCTATTCTTAAAAGATCACTCAAAGGACGTCGTTTAAACGGCAACGAGGACGCCATTGAAACTTTTGAAGACTGGTTTGGGGGCCCATTCTGGGTCATTTTTCTCTCATGGACTTTTGAAGGTCAAAGAGAGTTAGTAGAAATGTGTTACTGTGCACGGTGACTATGTAGAGAAAAAAAAGTATTTGCGCCAAGTTACCTAGGTCTATCTTTACTCCTTCATATTTAGACCCAAAACTTTTTGACTCCCCTCGTATGCAGAAACCACGACCATTTGCAGGGCAAGTTTCCAAGACAGGATGAGGGACGTTGGTGGTGGCCCTCCCTCCATCATCCGATCACAACAACAACAACAACAGCAACAGCAACAACAGCATAAGCAGCATAAGCAGCAGCAGCAGCAGCAGCAACAGCAACAAAAACAACAATAAATCAATTTATATTGCCCCATGCCGCATTTGGCGAGGGACGCCACGCTGTCAGTGTGAGAGATAACTATGTCATGGAGGCACTTGTTCCTACACTGATGCGGGGGGTGTAAAAGGGGGAAGTGGGGGTGTGCAGGGGAAGGGTACACTTGAGATTATCAAAGAAGACGAAGAAGAACCAGAAGAAGAAGAAGAAAAGCCAGAAGAAGAAGAAGAAGAAGAAGAAGAAGAAGAAGAAGAAGAAGAAGAAGAAGATACCACCACCACCACCAACAACAACAACAGCAACAACAACAATAACAATAGAAATACTACAACAACAACAAGAAAAAACAACAAAAACATTTTTTTACAAAAACAACAATAAAAAGATACAACAACAACAATAAAAATACTACTACAACAACAACAAGGAAAAAACAACAACAAGAAAAATACTACAACAACAACAAAAACAACAAAAACAACAAAAACAACAACAATAATTACTACAACAACAACAACAAGAAAAAAGACAACAGCAACCACCACACTGAGGTACCCTGGGACTATCGCCGCGGTCTGTCCAGTATCCTAGCACCGGCACCAACAGCATGCTGGTACATCCTGACACGATCCCGTTAACTGACACAAGGTACACAGGCACACCTAGGTACTGGAGGCTGAGGGTGGAGATAGATAGATTGATAGATAGA